GACCACCATTGTGTTCTCATGTGGACAACCTGAACACAACCTTTTGCAAGCACTGTGGTCATAGACCTACCTCCTGCCTAATCTACAACTCGAATAATGAGAGCTTACTTGCTTGTGTTTGTGTTGCAGACACCACTTGCTCAACTACTACAAAACCTTGGTATACTGCAACACTTCAGTGAGCAGACAAGGCAAATTAACAATAAAATGGCCCTAATTAGTGCAGAGCAAAAACATTATCATTACACCAAAAAAAGGGTAAAAAAAGGCCAAAAAGGTGTTTCATCACTTTATTGAACTAGTAGCAAGATAAAATGTTTTTATTTGTCTGGACCATAACTTCTGATCTGCTTAAGGTAATGTAATAAATCTTGATACTTATATGCATCATCACTAGACAGAGTGTCACATACATTTTTCATCATTCCTGCTTTAAGGTTAAGGTCACAAATCAAGGTCAAGGGTTGTAAAGGGTATTTGCCTGTCTGGCCATTGGTTCAGATTGCTGTAAGTATAATTCAACATTTTTCAGTCAGGTCATCTGGACAGTTTCTTTTTTTGTGCTGAAACGTTTCACCTTCCATCCAGAAGGCTTCATCAGTCAAGGAAACACACAACACAAAACTGATTCTTCCCTCAAACAACTTACTCCAGAGTGGAACAAACCAGTTATGTTGGTGCTAAGATGTGTAGGGATGGCGCCATCTAGTGGGCCTTCCCCTGTCTGTACTCCCTTGTGTCTCTGCTTTGATTGTCTGATTAACATCGCCCGTGTCTCATGTCCTGTTTGTGTATATAAAGTCTATCTGTTAGTCCTGTCAGTGTCGGCTTGTCGTTGGGTATTGCCTGTCCTGCCAGTCTGATCCTGTTTGATCCCGTTCCTGAATCTGTTTTATAGGTTTTGCTGCCATGTCAGCCTTTTGATTTATTATTATTAAAAGTATTTTATTTTGCACGCCTGTCTCCTGAGTCCTGCCTGCGCAACAGGGTTCTCTCCTGTCCTGACCTGCCTGAAACCCTGACAAAATGGTCTCTTTGGCACAGCCCCTCCTCCATTGTCGGCCTTCTTCCTCGTCGACAGTCATGTCAAACTGGTTCAAAACAACAAAGTCCATGCTCAATAATCCAGGTATACAATCCAACATTTTTCAGTCAGGTCATCTGGAC